TCCAAGATTATATATTATAGTTTTTATACTACTATAAGGATATACAAGAAAGACATCTAAACAATATATGTCATTTTAGAGCTCAAAGATTTCAAAGAAATCTTTACTTTTATTGAGCGTCCATATTCACACAATGCCAGAATAACTGCGATAGAATCAAAACTGTTAACCACCAAATATTGCATTGCAGAGGAACTATTTTTTTTAAGTGCAAATTCATTTTACAAAATATTCTTGCCTCAGGACAAAATATTCTTGCCTCAAATGAATAAATAGAAGTGCCTTAGAGTTCAGCTCTTTATACTTTTGACATTTCAAATTGTGTGCATTATTATTTGTAGGGAATTATTCTAAATTTGACAATGCATGTTACCTGCAGTGCTGTGATTCCTTTCTTTGTGCCGGCCATTTTGAAATCCATGTCTCCCATATAATCTTCAATTCCCTAAAAACAAATACACTTCATTTTGATTGCAAGTATTCCGCTCACTGTCTGCAGAGATTAAGAGCTCATCAAATCATATTGTACCATCTTTGTGTCTGATTGTATATTCTCCCATTCATGTGCTTATTGTATCATTCCCTATTTCTGTGCCTATTTTATCGTCTCTCATCTCATGTGCACATAGTGGGAGTTGTTGTGGGGTGTGTGTGTGTGGGGGGGGGGTTGTAGCATTTCTTCATCAATAGTGTTTGTATCTTGTGAGTAGTATCTGAACTTTATTTTTGTTTTCATCGCCTACATTTATGAGCTAGCTTTGTTTTTTATTTTATCCAACTTTACTGAGTCATATTATAAATTATTACATGTAGCATATATGTCTCATTTACCCTGCATGAGATGGCTATCTTACCAATATATCTGTCATAAGCCGATAATCTGTAATATTACTCCTATTATCATCTTCTGTTTTTGCAACAAGTCCTATTGCTACACCGGCTACTGCTGCTGTAATGGGAACACCTAGAACAAAGAAATGAAAATAAATAGACTGATAATAATTTATTATCACGGAATTTTACCCACAAATGATCAAAAACATCTTCACATCTTTCACATTTCAAAAAATATTTTTGAGTGGTCACATTCAAGTTCAGTAGAACTTGTACTTTTGATTTAAATTTCCTTATGATTGGATTAGAGCCTTTCGTACAT